TGCACGATCGAGCAAATAATCTGGGTCTTTCGTTACACTCGACTGAAGTTACGGTGATTCTTCATTCAGGCGACAGCTGGATAAGCCGACCTGTGGAGTGACGCATAACAGGTTGGTGTAACCCAACTCTACTTTGTGAAACTAGATATCCATTAACACGAATTCTTCGAATGAGGGACGCTATAGCTGGTCAGGTGGGCAAACTTCGCTCGAAGTGCTTGCCACCACAAAGTTGAGAACTCATTCTTGGGGATCTTGAGGAGGAGTTGCAGAGAGCAGCTAAAAGCAGCTGCTAAAGAGAGTTGATTGCTGCAAAACGGTTTTACAGCGCCATAAGACCACATTGTTATATTTACGCACTTTAATCAAAGTATGACCCAACCAAGTGTTGGAGACTTTGTCCACTAGCTCGGGCTGAACACTGTAGTACTCAAGTTCTACCAGATCATCCTTGTGGTTCATCCAGTTTTATAGTGCTTGAGGCAGGGCTCATTCATTCTGAAGTCCAGCTGTAATGAGTAGCGTTCAGCTCCTAACCATATCCCCACTAATCAATGGCATAGGCTTGAAGCTGCGGAAGGGGGCTGTTAAACCGGTTTAGTTCTGCCAAATGGAACATCAATGTAAGTTCAACTACTACTGAAGGGAACAAGCCTTTTGCTGCGAATTTATTTACTGGGAAACATCAAATGAACATTTACAGACGATTGTACAGGGAACTCTCATATGCATCTTGTTTACAAAAACTGAATATCCGTCTTCTTCTTGAACGCGTCTTCTTGAACTTTCCTGGATATTCATCAAGCAAGTGTAAACGAATGCCAGAAAGCAATTTCACAACTTCCGTAATAATTTCCACCTTCCGTTAGATCAAGGCGGATTTACGAGAAACCACATACTACTCTCATACCTCATCAGTAGTAGCCACCATTACACTACTACTATTCAAGTTGTTCTGGTTCGAATGGACTGAATTCCCGGGTACTTTCGTGCCTGTACCGTCAACCGCTTTCGCTTGACCGTATTTGTTACTCTGCATTTCTTTGTTTTGGAAAAATTCTGATGTGAAATTTTGCATTCTTTCAGTGTTTGTTGTTTTAAAAAACTCAACCGCTTGTTTTGTTACCAGCCGTCACTTGAAAGAAGCGAGGTTAAATCTGAGGTACCAACTGAATTCGCTGAACAACGCGTTCACTGTCGGCATTTTCAAGAAACGAGTCATATCCGGCGACCGAAGACCGTTGTCTTCACTGTAAAAACAGCGGGGCTGAGGAGTCAGAGGACACGAGTGACAGTCTTTGGATCTCTCAATTTCCTGTCATTCTTCTGTTGGTTTTAAGATGAAATTCAGAGTAAACCGGAAATCAGTAGAATGCGTGTTGCGTAGGCCTCGGAGTTTTTGGTGCTTGTCCCCACGACAAAGAACTCCTGATTTTCATAAAGGAAACTACTCACAAAGTTGCTGAAACCTCTTCGACAGCCCACGACCGATTTCGCCCTTGTTGGGGCTCATCAGGTGGGCGCATTCCCGAGTTTCCGTCAACCTTATGTTCTACTTGAACCCAAATCGGACTGTTTTTGGGAAATACACCCATGTGCAAATCAATTTGGTTTTCGCGAGAGAATCCACTAAATCTCTCGTTTATGATATTCTACAACTGAATGTGCTGCACACAGGCTGCCTCATTTTTCAGTTAGCACGTTATTCGAGATATGGCTTTATATTTTCAGCAACACTGTGAGTAGTTTCCTTTATGAAAATATACTGCGATATCCCGAATATCGTGCCAATTGAAACGTGAGGCGGCCCGTGTACAGCACATTCAGTTGTAGAATATCATAAACGAGAGATTCAGTTGAGTGTCTCATGAAAATCGAATTGATTTGCAAATGAGTGTATTTCTCAAAAACTCCTGATGGTCTGTGTCGCAGCTTTTTCGCATCAAATTCAGGTAGGTACCGTAGGACTTATTTCGTCCTCAGGACCAAATTCGCTGTGTTTGAGATTCTGAAGCATGTAGTCGGGGTTTTCAGCATAGCGCAGATAGAAATCGGCTGTCTTCGTTAGGACTGTGGGGACCAACAGATTTGTTCGAGCATATATTCTCAATTTTTATAATGTTTGCTGTTGTATAAACTTGAAAAGATACATTAGATTTCATATGGCCGGTTATTCTGCGATAGGATTGCTATCGTTTGGAAATTTTCGTTTTTAATGTATGTACTGATGACAACAATTATTTTAACTAACCTCCCTGAAGAAGACCACTGAAATGATTCGTCAAAAGCCGTCTCTCTGAGGAGTTGAATGCTGTGGATGGTATTGAACCATGCGACTTGTTGGTTTGTCCCAAGTTGTACTTCAACCGTATTAGAGGAAGGGAAACTGTTTTACTGAGGGACACAAGTTAGTCATTGCCAGAAGACTTCTCCCCACATCGAGTTTGTTGGCGGATGTAACCTCTTCAAAAATTGTACTTTTTCGAGGGCTTATGTGCCAGGAGTTATTGATTAATAATATTCCAGATATTACACTGCTCCCATTAGTGGTTTTTCATGTGCAGACAGTTCTCCAATCCAGTTCTTTGAAAGAATTCGCTTACCCATTCGGGTGGCTTGGTGATCCTACTACTCACAAGTAGTCAGACAATTGCTAACAGTTTGTTTCGAAAGCTTGAGAAGACGTGATCATTACAAAGCCGTGAACTGCAAGTTACTACAAGTGGTAAATTTACAACAACGATTTCATGTGCTTTATTGTCACAGCAACCGTTTCAGCGTTTGGAGTTTTGCAGTGTGAACTTGGATCTTCAACGTCAAGCGAGCGGATATTGTTGTACCCACGTGATCATTTGGAACGTATTGTGGACTGCTTATCCAGCGTCGAATCCCATCGCACGTGCGCTATCACCTGGACCTTGTGAAATCACAAAAACTAGTCACTATGGCACGGTGGTCGCCTGCAAGGCGATGTTCTACAAGCTTTCTTTTGGAATATTGGGCTGACCGCCCAGTTTTGCATCCACACACGCAGTTTTACGTCGAGAAATGCCGTTTCCTCCCCTCCGTCTCTCATTATTGTGTACTTAATTAGTCCAGATGTCCATGTTGTCCCACCTGCATCTGAAAAAAAGGTTACTTGGATACTAGTCCAGATGGTCTTCTGGCGACGGAGGTAACCAGCTTCCAGTCCTTCTTCGTGTGCTCAGGACGAGTTGTAAGACGTATTCTTCCATGATAAGATCTGTGGGAGAACTCTTTGTTGGCCGTAACCCAACCGGGTGAAAAAAAACTTGGTACAACGAATGGTAACTGTTCAGAAAGCTGACAAGAGGAAGATTGATAGGCCAAGTAAGTTAACATCGAAAAACCGTGAAAATGGTTAAATATGAAATAACTTACCTGAATGGGAAAACGATTGTATAAAGGTAGGTTACGTCCTGGAGTGTTTGCTGAGGGGGGGGGGGTGAGAACCAGAAAAATTTTTTCAGATGATACGGGACAGGAACTATGGAATGAAATTGAAGACGCTCCGTCATAATGGCGAGGCAGTTCTTTGCCTCCCCTACAAAAGTAATATTACACATCAACACCCTTACATAGCAATGGTGTCCGAAACGTTTAATACCGTGGAAATGTGATCAGATATTACGAGTCCCTGATGGGATTCATCAACCGTGCATTAATGCTCTGGCCACCTGATCGGGAGCTTCAAATTTGGGTGCACACCCTTCGATGTTTGCCTTAAAATGCTGGCCGAAGGGCCATGTGACTGATCGGTCCACGCGGACTGTAAGGTGCCTAAACGTTTCGAAATCCGACGAAACCCCTAAAATTAATTTAAAATCCAACTCGACGTCTTGGTACCTGATAAGTCTGCTAAACTGTTGGCGAGGAACAATAATGTTTGGATTGTCTGAGTCGGTGAAGAATCGTTTGAAAATCAGGGCGATTAGTTCAAACATTTTGAAGTGTCCTGTCAAAAATAACACGTTGATACGTTGGAAATATTATAGGTAGATTTAGGTAAAAGTACTCATTTGGTTTTTCGAGAGACTCATCTGGAACGCAGCTGAATCTCTCGTTCATGATGTGCCGCACCAGGCTGTCCCATGTTTCATTGGTTACGATATTATTGATTTGAAAATGAGTGTATTTCGCTGATTTCGTGCAATTTGGTTTCAAGTAGAATATAAGGTTGGCGGGAACTCGGGGATTGCGCCTACCTGATGAGCCTCAAGAAGAGCGAAACCGCTAGTGAGCTTTCGAAGTGTTTTCAGCAACCAATAAGTAGTATACTACGTCCATAGGTTCAGGCGATCTTCTGCTGAGTGTTCCGTCAACAAAAAAAGTTAAAGTACGACTTCCGGTAACATAACTGACGAGAACACTGCTCACACATCTGCACTTTCTTCGGCATTATATCAAATAATAATTAATTGTTCATCTCAGCACATGCACGTTTTAGTGTTCAGGTAGAAAACAAAGCTGATAGAGGGCCTTTGATTAGACCGAAGAAGGGCGGAGCCAGCAGTGGTTTGCTCAGATAGTTCACTGTGACTATCAGTTGTGTTCACACATTCGTGTTTTTTATCCAGGTTAGACAAGTCGGAAACTCGTTCCTCAAATAAAAAACTTTCAACTGGAGTTTTACCCTTTAAGTAAGGCGTATGTGTGCTGAAAAGCCGTCAAACATTGTATAGCTGTCTCATCCTTGTTGAAAATCATCAACAATGGACCTTTCGCGAAATACCAGTGTAAGGGTGGATACTACTGATGGGGCGTGCGAGCAGTATGTGGTTTTCTCGTAACTCCGCCACGCGTCTAAAGGAACTAGTGAAACTGTTTGCAGCGCTCGTTTACAATTGTGTGATAGTCAGTGAATATCTACGAAAGTTTACTAACACGTGTGAGAATGTCCAGTTTTAAAAAACAAGGTGCATATGAGAAGTTTACTTTCCTGTCTAACAGTTTGTAACCGTTTCTATAGTGTTTGCTGATAAACGACTTCGCGGCGAAAGGCTTTTCTCCTTTTACCACGAAGATTCGAAACCACGCCGCCCGTTCGGCCACGAGCAGTTGATTAACAGTGTGCCAACTTGCGATCGCACAGGACATGGTGCCACTCATCTTTTAATCAAGGTATCCATGTAGTATGATCACCTAATGACGGGTTCCTCGAGTGACGAATCCTCGGACGGAAGCTCCTCTGATCTTGTGAAATTATCCTTTGTTTAAGCTACCTATTATATGACGGAATAACTGATCTGTTCACAGGAAACCTTGTCTTGAAACTAACCATGTCAGTCGATGTGTACTTTTAACTTACGGTCTGTGGATCACAGGTATGCAGACGCATCTTGCCGTCTTATTACATACTACTATATACTATATATATACTATATATGTAATACTATATAACCTACCCTCCTTCCGCCTAACACACAGCTGTTATACTGTCGCTGTATGGAATCCATAACCTGACTGACAGTTTGTTTGTCCGCAATTTCGGACGCCATCCCAGCCCATGTACAACTATGAGTTACACATTTTGTAAATAAGCTCACGCCACACTAGCCCGTCGCACCTGCCACCATCCGGGTCCTTTACATACAGCAGGGCGGTAAGCGAAAGCAGGTTACTTCCGACAACTTGTTTCTTTCTCTTTCACCTATTCGCCCTTCCATCTCCCTAGTCCAGTTGGTGGAGACATTTTAAGGACATTCTTGTGAACTTACAGATCGGTCGCCACCCATTACGTTCAACGCAGCCAGCACGACCGCAGACATTTCGTAATCGTTTTTCAAACTCCGTCGTTCATTTCATCTGGCAGCCTTTCTTTGTTTAGGTAAGGCCATGTTTTACCCATGCCAAGTTGTCGTCTACCGACACAAGCGCTGTTTTCCGTGCCTATTCGTAGTGGCGGACAGAATTTGACATGCCAGAAGGGATTGGACGGCGCTATTCCAATGTTGAGTGCTGTTGATGCTGTATGTGCCTTCCAGAATGGTCCCTGCGTTCGGCTAGATACAGTGAACGGCTGGTCGTTGTCAGCGACGTTCTTGTTGTCTGTCAGCTTTTATCCAGATTGTCTGACTGAGTTTTGGGGGTGTAGCCACTTAGTATGTTTGTGGTAGGTTAGCCCTAGGTCCCCCTACCCGTTTTCGATTATAAGGCTCTGTTCAACTAAACTGACATGCCTGTACGGCAGTTAGGCACTCATCTGGTCTTGCTGTCAATGACACACCGTTGTATTTGTGTGGTGGGAGCAATGTATTTCCAGTGCTGAAATACGTTGTATGATATTGGGCAATACGTCTGGTGGATACAACTACAGTAGTTACGCTGACCGAGTTGGCGTGGGTGAGTCTTATTTGCGCTACCGAGATTTGGAAGGAAGAAATCAGCAGACAGGTAGGCTGTGGCAATGGTGAACTAAAGCTGTCACCCGGTCGTGGTGGTCGGGCTTCAGTGCTGCAATAATCCTGCGGGCTACACTGGCTTGAACCCAGTTCCTTAAGGTTCATCCAAGCCAGGAAAGCCAATGGCAAGCAGCCCGATGGAGAACAGCGACCCGCTGTTCGAGTTCCTACTTGGGCTGGCTAGAAAATGCACGTTGCCTGTGTTAACACCGGTGGTTCCTAACTTGGAGATGCACACATTCCTTGGTGGTGCGAGTTGGGTCAACTGGAATGCAAACAAACAATTTTCTTCGAAGCGTCTTCGAAGCAGACTAGAGGTGAGAGCTTGCCCTCCAAAGCAGTCAGAAATATGTGAGACTTCGGAGCACCTGCAACGTCCCAAAGATCCGTAGGACGAGTTTATGAGGGGTCACGGTCTATGGAATTCAAAGCTAGATGAACATTCAAAAGGAAACACACGATCCCATTGTTTCCGTAAGATAGAAATTGTGGCTAGTCCTACCCTGCAACGAACGACATGCGGTAAGGTCTACTTTCTTCTGAAAATGCCTCATCTTTGGCTTGTAATCTTGATACAATCGTAGAATGTGTACGTACTGTTTACCAGTTTTATCGAATAATATCTTGTGTGCTGGGGGAGCAGAATCATCATTGACCAAAACACAAATACCATATAAACTTTAGGGAAGAGTGTGGAGAGGAAACAAAGTAGACGAATGTGAAAAATTGTATCAAAAGCCTGATGAGTCCAGTTATAGCAATAAGAAATATGATGTCTACACCTTGGAGCGGCAGCAAAATGAAATATGTGATCGGTGCAAGGTGTCCTTGACTGAGTGGAACCACCATCATTTGCGAACTTTTCGGAGAACAAACTCTTTACGTAACTGGTCCACACAACTGTCAATGGAAGAACCTTTTTTGTAGAGACAGATTTGGTTGGTTGTTCTTCACTTGCCCTTGACAGATGAGTTCTAATTTTAGTATCACTTTTTGGCCCGCCTGGAACTTTCCACGTGTGCTTTATAAGCAGCCCGTTTTAGGCTGCACGTGACACGCCTGTACGCGTCAGTGTTCAATAGATCGATCAGCTGATTCGCACGTTCATTGGCTTTCTTGTTTGGCCAAGCCCATCCGGCTATCAAGCGGCTATCCAGACTGTGGTTCGCCGCATTAAAAAGGCATTTAGAATACTGCAGTCCACAACACGAACCTTATCCAATGCAAGCCTATGGGCAAACATGCTGAAGTCGCCCACCACGTACCTAGAAGTCGCCGGCGAACACATGTCCCAGGACGAAATACAACTGAATTTCAACTGTCGGGTAGAACACCACTGCGTCGGATTTCTGTCATTGAACAGGCACCTGTGTGTCAAGTGTGTGCTTAAAAACGGAGGAGGTGTTACCATGTAACCAACCAAACGTAAAAAGGAGTACGAGTTCATAGAGAAAACTAACGTCAGGGTGATTTCTGAGCGACCAAGCTTGTTTTTGTCACCAGTCCCTATTGATTTTCAAATTGCAACATCGCGTGCATCCAGATATAATCTCATAAGAATAGAAGCCATGATGACAGTCTTTAGAAAAAATCTTATCAAAACAGGAGAGAGACGACCATTTACGTCAGCATACGCTAATCACGTAAACTCAAGCAATTTGCTCCCAGACAGCAGTCGACACGTATTTTGTTCATAATCAAGTATATTTTTCCTTTTAGGTTTTGCTATATGTATAAACAAACGCAATCGAATAGTATCTTCAAATTGGTTCACGTAATTTGTTCTACAGTTTTCTCACGATCTGAGGTTTTCAAAGAGGATAATTAGCCCCGAAGAGGACAACTTATCCCTTTTTCTCCCGGTGGTCTTTCTTCAGGTTGCTTTATCTGAATTGTTTTTACAAAGACAACATGAGAGGAATTCTAAAAGTGCAAAAATTTGGGGAGCTGGCTAGCACTGGAGGAAAATTCTTGAGAAAAGCAATACAGTCCTCAAAATGTTTATACACAGTAAAATTAGAAAAACAAAT